GGAAATTAGTATCAGCACAAACACACATCCTTCCCCACCCACAGTGACCTAGAGAGGATTTCTGTCATCCCATAGGCCACTGGGTCTTTGAAGGGTACACTCAGGACACCTAAGGCCCAGCACCCTCCTCACTGGGGGAAGGGAGTTGATGGGGAGACTACCTGAGCACCTCTGTTGGTGTGAGGGAACCAAATCAGTGAGGTTTTCTGCAAAGAGTACAGAAGACCAGAGCATACTACTCCCTTCCCCTAAAGTCATCACTCTGAATTCAGACTTCTGGCCTCCTGAACTGTGAGGAAATAAATTTCTGCTTGTTCAAGCCATCCACCTGTGATATTCTGTTACAGCCGCACTCAAGAACTAAGACAGAATTAGGTACCAGAAGAGTTGGGAGCTGCTCTAACAGATACCTAAAATATGGGAGCAGTTTTGGAATTGGTAATGGGTAGAGGCTGGAAGAGTTTTTAGGTGGGAGCTCTGGTGGTGCCTAAAGTATCTAACTACTAACCAGAAGGCTGGAGGTTCAAATCTACCAGCCACTCCTTGGAAGGAAGGTTGGGCAATCTACTTCCGTAGTGATACTGCCTCAGAAACTCAAGGAGGGGTCGCTATGAGTCGGATCCAACTCCATGGCAGTGAGTTTGGTTTGGTTTGGAATAGTAAAAGCCTAGATTGCCTCGAAGAGACTGTTGATAAAATTATGGATGTCAAAGGCAATTCTGTTGGGGGCTCAGAAGGAGGTGAGGAGAGCTACAGAGAAAATCTCAATCATCTCAGAGAACACTATGGTGCCAGTAACACAATGTTGCTAGACACGCAGATGGATGTTAAAGGTGCTCCTGGGGAGACTTAAAAAAAAAAAAAAAAGATTAACATATGATTGGACAATGGAGGAAGGACAATGCTTTTTATGAAGTGGCAAAGAACCTGTCTGAATTATGTTCAAATGTTTGGTGGACAGGAGAATCTGTAAGTGATGAACTTGGATATCCGGCTGAGGAGATTTCTAAGCAAGATCTCAAAGGGGCCATGTGGTTTCTCCTTATCGCTTATAATGAAATGTGAGGGGAAAGAGATGAACTTAAGAATGAACTGTGCATAATGAAAACAGAACTTAAAGACTTGGAAAATTCTGTTGTACAAACTAAGGACAAGTGTCCTAGAATGCTCACCAATGATATGGCTACATAATCTCTTGTTAAAGAGATTAAACCTGTCCTGTGACTGATGAAAATAACCAACTACCACAGCAGAAAGTCCACCTTATACTGAAAAGGGACAGAGAAAGGAAAGAGAGAGAATGTGGTGTGCCTCTTGGAATTCTACAGGCAGGAAACAAGCCAAAGGATCCACATCCATTGTCCTCCAAGAAAAGAAAAAGGACCATCCCTGGAGTAGCTCAAAGACCAGCAGAACCACTGGAAGGAAGACACGGAGCTGGGCCTGCTCAGTTTCAAAAGGTGGTGGCCATGATCTCTGGGATCTCAAAGGGGTGGGGCCACAGCCTCCTAGGTTTCAAAGAGGTGATCTTCATTCACTTACTTCCAGAGTATGAACTTGTCCGTTAAGGTGTGCCACCACCACCACCACCACCACCACGCAAAGCTGAGGAGTGGGACTGCTGGACCCAAGGGGGTGTGGTCACCACTCAAAAGGACTAGGAAAATGAGACAGCTTATAGCCAAGGAAGCAGAATTGCCATGCCAGAGGTCCTGGAAGGTGGAGCTGAAACCAGGTCCTAGGGGCCTCTACCCAGAAAGCAAAGGGCACAGCCATTGCCCAGATAGTCTCTGAGGAGACGGAATCGTTTCCAAGCCTTGGGAGCTAATGCGATTTGTTCTACCGGGTTTTACACTTGCTCAGTGCCTGTTATCCCTTCTTCCCTTCTTTCCCTCCAATTTCTCCCGTCTGTAATGGAGATGTCTACCTTACGTCTGTTCCACCACTGTGCTTTGGAAACAGACAACTTATAGTCTAGATTTCACAGGTTCACAGATGAAGAGGAAATTTGCCTCAGGGTGGAAAGCCTCACCTAAAGTCTCACCCATATTTGACTTAGATGATCCAGAAATGAGATTTGGGATTTAGAGTTGATTAAAGACTTTCAGGATGATGTGATGGGTGAATGTGTTTTGCATGTGGCAAGGACATGAATCTGGGGGGAGCCAAAAATGTTATGGATTGAAATATGTCCCCCAAAATACGTGTTGTAAATTCTAACCTCTTTGCCTGCCGTTATAATCCCATTAGGGAATGGGTTGTCTTTGTTATGTTAACGAGGCACGATGGGTGTAGGGTGTACCTTGAGTCAATCTCCTTTGAGATGTAAGAGATTAAACAAGGATGCAGAGGAGAGATGGGATAAGCTAGATGCCAAGACACTGGGAGATCTCCAAGGAACTAGGAAGCAGAAGCTGAAGAGACAAGGACCTTCCTCCCAAGCTGACAAGAGAGAGAAACCTACAGCTGGTGCCCTGAACTCAGACTTCTAGCCTCCTCAACTGTAAGAAAATAAATTTCAGTTTGTTAAACCCAGCCACTTGTAGTACTTCTGTTATAACGACTCTAGAGAACTAAGGGAGTTACATCCATCTCTCCTAGGGAACCGTCTGACCCCAACAGCAGCCCCAAAGGAGAACAGGGAAACAAAGCTGCCTCCATCTTCAATACTCATGACATTTTTATTCTGCCATGCTTGCTGCCTGGAGCCAAGGAACTCCAGTGGCCAGGCCTCTGTAACCTGCTCAAGAAGGAGGTAGCAGCCAGCCTCCCTCCAGCCCATGACCATGTCTCTGGTCCCAGCAAAGGGGAAGGTCAGGGAGAAGCTCAAAAGCTGTGGGTCAGAGGAAAGAGATCTTGTTGTTGTTATTTACTAGGAAGGGGGGGAGGAACTGGAAACCCAACAGGCTGGTGGCACACAGGGGGCAGGAAACGGGTATTGCCCAACTTGGGTGGGGAGAGCCGGAAAAGACTACACTTGCCCCAAATGTGGGCTACCCCACCCCTGCCCCTACCCTCGGGGAGAAGGATAGCAGGGTGGGAAGTGGAATGGGGTGGGGGGTGGGTAGAGACCCGGAAGCCCTCCCCACCCACCTCTAAGAAAGAGGAAGAAACGTGCAACCCTCAGAAGAGAGCAAAGCATTCCCTGGGCCTGACACAGGACCAGACAAGGGCAGGGGCCAAGCCCCAGCCACCTTCCAGGGGTGGACAGTGTTGTCTGGGAGCACACTGGGCACATCACCTGGGCACACTCTCCCTCCCAAAATTTCCCACCCTGGCAGGAAGCAGACACTCCTCCAGCCCAGAATATGAATTCCAGCTCCTTCAGATGTAGTGAATAATCCACACAGATACTAGAAACCACAGACACACCCATCCATTCCCCAGTAACCTTGAACTCCAGACTCAGGCCTCCCTACATTACCTAGCACAGACCAGAAGATCAGAATTGGGACTCCCTGACTGCACTGCACACTCCCTTGTAAGGCAGAGAAGAAGAGAAGGAAACAGAAGATGGAGGTTTGAGACAGAGGAAACTAAGGCAACATCTGCCTGGCCCCTGGCCCCAGTTCATGGTGGGGTAGGTGATATAAGGAGCTGGTGGGGTCTGGCGGGGGCGAGGGGCCCATGGCAGAGCCAGAGGAGGCGATCCAGGAAGAAGTGGTGGCAGTGGGCAGATGGCCAGTGTGGGCAGTTAGGCGCCCTGCCAGGCCCTGCCCCAGGGACAAAGACACTCCCTGGCTCTGGGGAGAGAGCGCTGCCCCCACATTGAGACAGGGGCACTGACCCAGCCCAGCCGGGCATACAGGGTAGTGGTGCCAGGCAGCTTGCCAACAGCCACGGGAGGGGTGGTGGGTACCCAGGCCAGGGTGTGCAGTCCCTGCCGGCCAGGAGAGGTGGGACACAGTTCCCAGGTCAGCAACTGACCAGCCAGCCATCATCCGTTCTGCTGCTGCCACCCCCTCCTGCCCTAGGCCAGGCCCCGACTCCCTCCTTCCTCCAGCCCTGGCCTGGCGCCCAGCTGGGCCCTGGGGGCCAGAGTTACTGTAAGCGGCCTGGCAGGCCCCAGGCCTGGACTCTGCCAGCTGGCCGTAGCTACCACCACCTCCCACTACCTGGCTCGGCCAGCTGGGAAAGGATATAGAGACCCCCACCCAGCCACAGGCAACCCTCATGGCAGAGGGCAGAGGCAGGGAGAAAATACAGATCCCTCTAAGCCCATGTGTGCATCCACAGCCAGACTCCTTGTCAAGCGTACCCGCCTGAGGGCTTACTCTGTCCACCAGTCTCACTCTTGTGGGCCCTCCCTCGCACCGTCCCCACAAAGGGAAGCACGTCCCAGCATGGCCCGTGGGTGGCACTGGCAGCCAGTTTCTCTGTCTATTCCTTCCTTCAAGTCCTTTCCCCTAGACCCTGGATGGGGGCAGGGCTGGTGGGGCGCCTCTTGGAAGAGCTACCATTTGTACCCAATGTTGAGAGGTTTGTTTACCCGCCTTGGGCCTCTGTGTCAAGTCCTTGAAGCTATTTATAAGGCCCTCGATGGCAGAATACAGAAGAAGGGTGCAAGGGGCACCATGGGCCTGCAACAACAGGGTTTTATCTCCCCCTCTCTGCTCTGGTAGCATAGTGCTTAAGGCATTTGACTGCTAACTAGAAGGCTGGCAGTTCAAACCCACCACTCCAAATCCACCACTCCTCGGAAGGAAAGTTGGGCAATCTACTTCCGTAGAGATACCGCCTCGGAAACTCAAGGAAGGGTTACTATGAGTCAGAAACAACTCAATGGCAGCGAGTTAGTTTGTTTTGTTTTCTGCCACCCAACATCAAACACAGGTATCACCAAGAAGCCCACAAACACTGGGGCTTGCATCCACGCCGCACCCAAATGATGGTCCCCCTCGCCTGGAGGGGACCTTGCACCTCACTGCGCCTGGGCAGAAAAGACACGTCCTCCCGCTGAGCCTCCCACTGAGCCCCCTGCCTGCCCCGTCCTGACTTACTGGCTGGCGATGGTGTGCTATAGCTGCTTACTGGAAGCTGGTGCTGGAGAGTGGTCAGGGTGCCTGGCGGAGAGAGTCCACCCAGCATAGAGGGGAAGAAGAAGGCGTAGGGGGGCACTGGGTACCCATTGAGGTGCCCGCCCCCAGGTGTCGGGCAGGAGCTGCTGTTGCTGGCCATGCCAAGCAGCCACAGTCAAAAGGGCAGGCAGACAGTCTGGCAGGGGCTCTGGCGGGCTTCAGGCCACTCCTCCTCGGGGCATGGGGCCTGGGCCCAGAGGGGGCCTGGGTGGTCAGCCCACCCCCTCTTTCTGTCCTGGCACTGCTGCCCAAGGCCAGCAGGCTAATCTCGGCCTCTTGGTGCCCCTACCCCAGCCAGGGGGCCAGGTGAGTTGGAAGATGTCCCAGGAGTTAGTTGGTCCTTTGGTCAAGCAGTGCTGTGGGCTGGCACTTTCCTGGGAGGGTCCAGAGCTGGCCTTCAGGGTGCCAAAAAAGCTGCCTCTGCTAGACGGGCCCCGGCAAGGTGGCTGGGGGGGCCATGTCCTGTGATGCTGCAGAAAGAGGAAAGACAGGTGAGTGGGCACTGAGGAGCAGGCACACAGGCATTCCCGGCGGAGCTCCCCAACCTGGGCGGCCGGAGATTTTCCCGTGGCACCCGGCAGAGCAGACAGCTGGCACCCTGCCTGGCTGGCAGAGACGGCCCAGGAGCAGGGCCCAGACGCTGCTGGAGGTGGCAGGAGAGCACAGCCAGGCTGGGGAGACGGGGTCAGAGCCCAGAGCTGTGGAGGGCCTCTCACCGCAGTCCTAGGGGGAAAGAGCCCAAGGTGGTGCCCCAAAAGATCCCTGCAGCAGAGAGTGGCAGCTGGCCCTCTTCCCCCAGGGAGGGTTACCTGAGGTCAAGATGCAGACAACGTATGCTTGAGGGGAGGAGGCAGGGAGGAAAAGCCGCTTCCCTAAAGCATTGGCACTTCTCAGAAAAATGACTCTTGAAACCAGGGGCCCTCTTACACCACTGCCCCCCCAAATCCAAGTCCCAACACCCCAGATGGGTTTATCCCACAGGCCCTGGGAGGCGGTCCACTGACATACACACAAATGGGGAAAAATGAAAAACAAAGGACTCACGGTATCACCCCAATGCTTGACAGCTTGGATGGGCCAAGGGTGGCATTGTGTCAGGAGGGCAGGGGCTGCCCAGGATGGAAGCCCCCTGCCCCCAGGCAATGAAGAGGTGGGGCAAGTTCCCAGAGCTCACCCACATTCTTCTGTCTGCAAAAGCAACACCCCTGGAATACGGGTGGGAGGCCGGCAGAAGAAGAAAGGCTAGATGTCCCCACCACCACCCAGTGTGTACACAGATCCACACCCTGTTTGAACAGCTGGGACCAAAGGATATGCACAGATAAAACCATGGGGCAGAGGGAGACGGAGACGAACCCAGAGATTCCATGACACAGTAAGAGACAGACAGGCAGTGACAGGAGCAGATAGAGAAAAAGATCTACAAGAAGATGCTTCTAATCCATTGTAAATATTTAGGAGGTCAGAAATAAAGAAATATGTATGTTTATATGTATATATGCATATGCATAAAACAAGAGAGAAAAACAAAAACAAACATGGCCAATCCAAACCACAATGAGATATTACTACACGCCCACTAGGATGGCTACAATCTAAAAAGGCAGATAACAAACATCCTCGAAGATGTGAAGAAACTGGAAACCCTTATGCATTGCTGGTGGGAATGTAAAGCAAATGGTAGAGTCATGTTGGAAAACAATTTGGCAGTTCCTCAAAATGTTAAACTTAGGGTTACCATATAATCCAGCAATTCTTCTCCTAGGTATATACCCGAGAAGTACGAAAACGTAAGTCCATGCAAAAACATACACAGATGTTGATAGCAGCATTATTCATAATGCCAAAAGGCAGAATCTAGCCAAATGCCCAGCTGCTGAATGGATGAACAGTGTGCTATAGCCATGCAATTGGAGTATTAGTTAGCAATCAAAAGGAATTAAATAGTGATACATAACACAACACGGGCAAACCCTGAAAATATTACACTAGTTATAAATGGCCACATATTGTATGATTCCATTTTATATGAGATGTCTAGAATAGGCAAATCTATGGAGACAGAAAGTAGATGAGTATTTGCCTAGGGCTAGGGGTACAGTGGTTAAAGCACTGGCCTGCCAACCAAAAGGTCAGCGGTTTGAACCCACCAGCAGGAAAAAGATCCAATGATCTGCTCCAGTCAAGATTAAATGAAAAACGACTCCTAAACCCTATAGGGCAGTTCTACTCTATCACATTGGGTCACTATGAGTTGACATGTACCCCAGCACCTGAGAACAACAACAGGGCTGGGGGTGTGGTTTAGGCAAATGGGAAGTGACTGCCAATGGGTATGGAGCTCTTTTTAGGGTGATGAAAATGTTCTAAAAGTGACTGTGGTGATGGTTACACAACTGTGAACATACTAAAACCACTGAATTCTACACTTGGAGTGAGTAGATTTTATATATGAATTACATCTCAATAAAGGTATTAAAAAAAAGAAAGAAAAGAAACAAGGCCACAGACCCAAAATGAGGACTACCTCCCTTTCCAACCCTTCCCCCACCTTCCAAGCTCAGGCCACTCCAGCTTCCAGGCTCCAGGCTCAGACCTGGAGTCCAGGGGACATGTACATGGCCAGCGTTTGGCCGAGGACCAGGCCTGGGATGGGTGAGTTCCTGCCAAGGCCACTGTGGAAGAGGCCAGGGCTTCTGGGTCCAGCTGGGCAGGCCAGCCTGTGCTGGGCTGGGGTAGAACAGGAAGGGGACAGGTACGTGTAGGGAGGGGGTGACCCCTCCAGGAATGAAGTCTGGACCTTATTAATGCCTGTGATTTTTACTGTTACTAATTATGACCCCCTCATTTCTGCATGAAGTGCCCCTTCCCTCCCCAGGCCCCTGCCTACTCCTTTTCAGGCTGAGAAGCCTGACGTCAGAGGAATATGGGCCCCACCCACCCAACCAGCTGCCACCCTGGCCCCCCTACACACACCCCTGTGGGGCCCCACACAACGGGAACTTGAGCTGGGGGAGCCAAGCAAGGGAAGGAGGGGTTGGCTGCACCTCATGAGTACCGACAGTCAGACCTTCACACACACACACACACACACACACACACACAGAAACTGTTGCGTCCGGGTGGGCAAGAGCACGCCTGCACGCCCCAGCCTGTGTGTGTGCGCAGGCAGGCACGCACGTGAGGAGAGGGAACCTAGAGATACCATCTCTGCACACCTGGGCTCTGCCACACAATGAACAGTTCAGGGCTGACAGGCACTGCCCCGGGACTCAGCCCCCCACAGACACACAACCACAGCCCAACAGTGTCCCAAACTGCACATTCTGTGGCCCTCACAACGCCAAGGTTCTCCCTATGGGCCCTGCCCATGTCCAGTGCCTCTCTAGGATACATGGGGGCCCAAGAACACAGAGATGCATCCCCCCCAGAAAAAAACTCAAGTAGATTCACACCCAGACCGGCTCCTTTGAGGGGAGGTCCAGGAAGCAGATGACCCAAAGCAAGCCCTCTGAGCCAGAGCTGAGCCCCAGAAAGCTACTCCAGGCCCCAGGCACCCTGACTCAGCTTAGGGGAGGGTCCACTTTGGGAGGTGTCTCCAGAAAGGAGATAACCATAGCCACCTGAGAAACAATGATTCAACTCTGCCCCTGAGGGGTTTGAAATTGGACCGAATTTCAAGTACCCCCACAAATATACCCCCTTCACCTTATACCAGAGTCTCCAGCACACTGGGCCCAGCTCAACCTGTAAATTTTGGTACAAAGTTACTCAGCTGCAGAAGGGGATAAAGGTCACAGAAATAGGCCAAGAGTCAGGCTGGCCAGAGAACAGAGAAGGGCAGACCTAGGGATGGTAGGGGCAGGGGTGAAAGAAGGCCCTGCCTTCCAAGGTCCCCTGGAGTCATAACCCCCAGGAAGATGCCTGCACTCAGGCCCCCTGCATCTAGGGGTGGAGAAGGCATCATCAGAGAATTGAAACCAGCCCCAGAGAGAGAGAAAACAAACTACCCACATCCAACCTCCACCCTCTGCCACCACCTCTACTGCCCACAGACACCCTCCCTTGAGGGGCACAAAACCACAGGCCCACACCTCCAAGACAGACTGAGCCCAGCTTCCCTTGACACAGGGGGAGGGCGGCTAGAGTCTGCCGCCAGCCACTCTCCCTGCCCACTGTGGTCTCCCTCACTCCTCAATGCTGCCAGCATCCTTCCCCTGTGGCAGGCATTCCCAGCTGCTCATTCACTCCATCCCCAGAGTCACACACCCAGAGAAAAGGAGAGAGCTGGCTGAACCTAGAAGATGGAAGAAAAACCCAGAGGTCTGAAATATCAATCTCAGCTATGCCACTCCAGGTGACCTTAGACAAGTCACTTCACTGCACAAAGCATGTTTACTTGTCTGTGAACTGCCTACCTCAACAACAGGGTGTGTGATTGGAAAGATAAACTCCTGAAAAGCAGCTCACAAAGCGCAAGCTCCAGGCACACCAGAGAGGCCAGGTGACTGGTCCCTTCTTCTCCCCTCCCACCTCACTTCTCCCCAGCATCTCTCCCCACTTTGCAAGGCCTCAGCAGCCTATGTGCTTTCCCTTCCCCCTCCCCAGCCAGGCTCAACTTCTGTTGACAGAGCTGGGAGGGAGAATTATTGTGTTTTCTAGGGTCTGCTTCCCCCTAGACTGAGGAGAGGGATGTGGGGAGAAGGATATTTGGGGTGTGGGTGGAGGCCTGACCACAACCCTTTCCTAAATTCCCTGGTTTCATTTCACAAACCAAAAAAGGGAAACCTTTGGATTTGGGGAGGGGAGGAAGGAAAGAAAGATAGATCATTTCCTGCTCTACCTACCCTCAGGAGAGAGGAACCAGGGGTCCCCAAGCCCAGCTGGGTCCAGCCCCCCTTCTTCATTCATTCATTCTCTCTTCTCTACTCCCCAGCTCCACCACCACCCCACCCCACCCCACCCCAGCAACGGCACCCAAGGAACGAAAGCCAGGCAGTCCCAGGGGGGCTGAAAGAAGGGGACAAGAACTGGGCAGCTTTAAAAAGGGGGAGACAGGGGGTTTCCTAAGCATTCTAGAGAGTCAATGAATCATATGCAAACGACATTGAGAGCTCAAGCCCAGCTGGGGGTGGGGGTTTGAGGGGGAGACCCCAAACTTGGCAGAGAAACAAAGATCTGCTCCCTCTGGACCCCTACTCTGCCAGGAGCTAACTGGGCAGGGCTAGACAGGGCAAACATCAAACTAGAACAGTGGGCTGGAACTATCTATAAACTTTCCAGGAAAACACACGCGTGCGCACACAAAGCCAAAACCTCTCCCTTCCCTCATGCTCCTCAGATTTGTAAGGGTGAGGAGGGTGATCACTACTCTCTTTTTCTCTTTTTCCCTTTTTCCAGGGGCCCCTCTGGCCAAGACTCTGGCCATCTCCAGCAAGCCCACAACCAGCCCACAGGGTTGCCATTCCCC